TATGTTAATCCATCTTACTTTTATGTTTAGTTCCATCTAGATATTAAAAATTTATTAGAATCTCCTCGTTCTCATAAAATGCTATTTTCCTTCATACGAGCTCTATTTGCGCATAATTCTGTTTCTTGCAGATTAGTATACGTTGGTATCAATCCACGAGATGGAAGTGTGATTAGGTAACGTTATTGCACCAATATGGAATCAAAATCGCATCAAGACTGGTTGCGCTCTGATACGTATAATGAAATATGGTTATTGATACAAATTGCCGCGGATACATTTTAGTACATATTTGTCACACCGAGAAAATTATTGCGACACCGATATTATTGGTCCACTAAATCATTGTTGAAGAGGAAGCAGAGGGGGAGGAAAACGTTGGGAGAACAGATAAGTTTATTCGACGAGATTGCGATATGGGAACACCGATCGTAAAATTCGAGGTGTGAGAGAATAGTAAAATCCTTGGGCTTAAATCAAACGAGGAAATATGCCATGCCGCCAAAGTAGCTTTTGGAAAAGTTTTTAAAGCTCGGCTTCAAGAATACGGGAAAGTTTCGAGGGCGATTTTTTTCGAAAATTGTGCACGTTCTAAACGTACGCGTACCTACATGGCCTTAAATTCGCTACAGAAATATATAAAAATACAATATTTTTATTCTATAAAAAACATGCAAAGAATCAGTTACATTTGATAAATATTTTAGAAAAGTAGAAGTTGATAAATATTTAGAAAAGTTCACATATTTCTCTCTGATTATTTCTATATTAAATATTTTTTATAAATACCTCTCTTATAAATAGATGTGCATATTAGAAAAATATTATGCAAAAATTTATTTCTCTTTTATGTCTGTCTTATTATGATAAAAATGGAAGTTTTCATCAATGTTCACAAAAGATGAGAGATTATTAAAATGGACGACGAGAAAAATATTTCATGCATTCTATATAGTTTTATTAGATTTCTTCATTCTTGAGAGATGTCCTATAATTTCTCTTTGAAATTTTTAAATAAATTTTTTCCTAGCTTTTTTTACACAATATGATTACTAGATTTTTACATAATATTATTATCCTCTTATTTAAAAAATATTTAACTGTGATATAATAATAACTCATCTGTCATTTTATTAATACATGCTTTATGTTTTAGATTATTGTTCTCTTTTTATAACTATACTATTTTTAGTCACATTTTATATAGTTACATTTCCAAAATACAATAATTTTTTATTAATTTAGACTACAAACGTATTCATGTAACTGTATAAATAATATTTTAATATTTATCTATAATAGTTTCGCAGTGTATTATATTGATTTCGTGCCTACAAAAATAAAAAAAAATTAAAAATGAAATAATGAAAACAGATTACGCGATAGTTCTCTTAAATTTTTTGTGATAACTAGAATATTTCATGAAAATACAAAAGCATACAAAGTCGAACCTCTTGTGTAAATTTAGAATTGAAAAATTTGTTTGTTAAAAAGATCAAGTTGTGAAGAAACATCATTTTTGATTTACAATTTTTTTATTAGATTTATGCTATAAGAATATTATTAATAACATTTCTGCAAAAATTTATAACAAGAAATTCTACATACATGTTTCTAATTAAAATATCACCAATACACTTCAAAATAATTAAAATAAATAAAAGAATTAAAATACAAAATTAAAGTCAACCATTTTTTTTAAGTTTAAGATATACTAAATTAATCTTATTTAACATGCTATTTTACTCATTAAAAGCCGTTGATGATTCCAGTTACAAAACTTGATTTTTATTCGCAGAACAACGAAGGAAACAAATAGAAATTGCTTCGTCAAAGTCGAACGATGACAAATGTCAGTTCTCAAGAAAGGGTTGGGAAACTCATTAAATGGGCCTGTCGATTGGCGACTCTCTATAGTATCATTATTATCGGGAGCATTCGAGTTAACTGCATTCGAGCATTCTAGGTGCCGACCTAGTCGCAAGCTTAACTATTTCCTCCCCTCCTTTGTTTCCGGGGCATTTCCGCTTCCGAGGCACCCAACCTCCGTCTGCGCTTCCATCAATCATTTCAGTTTTGCGCAAGATTCGCCCATTATTCGAATCCCTTTCTTCCATCTTCTTCCACTGCTTGCACCTTCCGTTCAAATCTTTTCCGCTATCTCGCGAAATTGAACGTTCAATATCTTCAATCTCTTGTATCATTTAAAACGACACGAGAAAGTTTTTCGTTTTCATAATTTATACTTGTAATATTTTTACTATGTAAAACTGTATGCATTTTTATTATATAAAAATATCATGGAACATTTTTACAAAATAAAAATGCAATTAATCTATATGCAAATTAAAAAGATACTCGTGCAAAATATTGTATGATGGACCGACATTAGTCGATATATTATCAAGCAATAAATAGACATTCGGCTACAATAATTATCAATATATTGTCAAATGTAATGCATTACACACGAGCGAACATATTTTCATTAAAGAAACTAATATCTAAAAAACAATGCCCTATCGCAAAGCTCGCGACAATGTATTAAAGTTACTGTAATTTAATGCAGCGGAGATTATTTCTAGCGATGTATTATGAAAAATGGAATACTGTGTTCTTTTTCTGTGACCGCGATTGTGCCCGCAACGGCAATTCACATATACACCAACCGCGAAGAGTTTCATCGCAGTTTGCCAGACCGTGAAAACTGCAAAAAATATCGCATCGATATTCGCGCACACGAAGGAAAAATCCTAGAAAGTATGTTTAGTGAAATCAATATCAATATCCTTGTAACTAAGATTATGGATTAACAATTAAGATTTATGTTTTTCACGCTCATATATAACAAATTTCTATTATAAATATCTCTGTCATAGAAAGTTTGTAACAAAAAATATTTAACCATTAATTACTGGTTAATAAACTTTTAGATCTAATTTGACTCTGCGATAGCACTTTATGAATTATCGAACACGCGCGAAAACTTACTTAACTTTGGAAATTTAATTTAAACTCCTCTATTTTATCACTATTTATTGCATGTTACAAATATAAAATTATTGTTTGTATAATATGCAAGTCCAGTAACTTTATTGATCGGAAATATGTATGTTATTTCAAATAATAGAAAAAATTGAAGCTAGACTTTTTTTCAGAATTTGCCATCCTATAGAATTTCACAAAAAATTGTCATTCCGTTTAAAAAAATAAAGTTGAACTTTAAATCTCCATTATATCTCCATCCACAATAAAACTATTGTCATCATATAACGTGTAATTAAAATCCGTAAACCCTTATATCTTCAATTTTGTTGTCATGGTTTAAAATAAAAGCAGAGATATTTTCGGTGGACGGAGTTAGTGGGCCAAATATACGCAGCGTAAAAACAAACATTGCGAATGAATCAATATGGAATTGGCTGGAATTTGCTTCTCAAAATAATTATTTTATTATGAGATTTAAATAAATAATTTAATTAAATAATAAAAAAATAAAATAAAGAAAGAGCTATAACACAACGTTTAATATTAATTATATTTTTTTGCTTAAATATTGTTACTCGCCATAATAAATTAATAAACATTTCTGTTACTTTCGTTTACCGTTATTTTTGCGATAACTCTTTACAGTATATATAATAAAATCAAGAAAAACTAGTCTCGCTTGAAAAATTTACGACGTAAATAGGCAATATCGGATTTTCGTTCGTTTAATTTAGCCCTCACGTTTATTTCAATGAGACTTCACTCCAGGAGTTCTAGGTAATGAGAAAGCAGTAAAGACAGATTAAGAGATCCCCAAACTCTTCCCATTCCTGGAGCCAACATTCTTTTGTGACAAATCCATTAGGGACTTTGAAGAAATTGAGTTTGCGCCCGCGATTCATTATAATCTCATTTATAAATGAGAACTAACTGTTCGCCTAGAAAACTATGACAGCTCTTTTAATTATCACGCTCTAACAATGCAGGTCCAATAAATCATCAGAAAATGGGACAAATCTCGATTATATGAGAAATCAGCAGCTTTATTGTAATCTTTATGAATATATTTATGTATTTCAAATAATACAAAATATGAAAAACATTTATAAAATATTTTATCTGCATGTAATAAGCTATACACATACATATATATTTTGCGTGCGTTTTTGCGTGCAAAAGTATCTATTCCGTATCTTTGAATATTATTATCCGCAAAACAAGAGAATATGAATAAAAACTTAAACTGTTTATTTATCTCATAAAATATTGTATCAAATAATTAAATAAAAATATATAAAAAATAATACTTAAATTCTCTCTGAACTTTAAACAAAATCTTATAATAATAAATTTTTTTAAAACAAAAAAAATATTTAAAAAACAATGTTACAAACAATTTAACAATGTAACAAACAATTTAAAAAAGAAATAATAATGTGCGAGATCTCTTTTTTAGTTTAAAAATTATTATTTCTATTAATTATTAATATAATTCTTAAAATATTAAATATAAGTGATAATACATGTGCATACTTTGCAGTTTAATATGCAATTTTACGGAAATCGTAATTATTCGGAAAAGTATAGTATATTCCCTCAAAGAACATAATGTAATCCCGAAACCTTATTAGCTTATATACCCAAAGATACTTACGTACCTAATTTTACGTTAATATCATGTATGCTTATTACCACTTTGGCATAATTAATTTAGTTTATGATTTAGTATTACAATTTTTTTTTCTTCTCATTTAAAATTAAAGCTTATAAATTGTAGATTAGTCATTTTAAAATATTGCATATATTGTATATAAATTAATTCAATAGTTTTTTAAAACAGTGTTTTTTACTTTTTTACAGAATTGTTAAGTTCTGTATATTTGATGAAAATAAAACTTAAATTTTAACTATGTTTTAATTAGAAATATTTAGAATACTCCATTTAATTTAAAATATCCCTTTTGTTTTTATAAATCTAATCATTATTAAACTAGTATAAAGGTGAAACTTACGTCCAAGCAAGCTCCTCTTCTTTCCGAGGTACACAAGAAGAAATCGCCTTTCACGTAGAACACGAACGATCGGAAGACAATGGCACAAAATCAAGTGAATTGGGTGAATGAGGACGCAACCAAAAAGAGACAAACCCTTTTGAAGCACTTGCTACGAAATATCCAACCACTTCCGGCACAGCTTTTCCTCGACACTTTTAAATCTCACGAGAGCGATCGATCCTTGAGACAGCAGTTACGATCTCGAATCGCAACAATCCTCGAGAAACACTCGAGAATGTTTAACAGTTTTTCGCGCGAGAACATATGATACGATGTTTCGCGAAGCGATGATAGCGATTTATTAAAGGAATTTAGTTTTCTTCGAGCGAGTTGGCACTTTTGTTCTCATATTTTATTTTCCTCCGCGAGGATCTTTCTATTATAACGCACATCTGTCGCGTTCATCCAATTTCGATCTCAATCTCTCGCGGAGAACTTTGTGCCGATGGAAAATTAATAGAACGCACCGTCAACACTTTTTCTTTTTGCGAACGCCAAAAGGCGTAATCTGCGATGACAGAAAGAGTTTTTGTTTGTAATATCAATATTATTATAGTCTTAATCGCGGATATCGTATATTATGATTTTATCTCGATGACTGTCGATTGCGAAAGAAGATGAATTTATTTATTATCAATCATATCTTTTCATTAATTACGTGCACAATTTTATTTCAAGATGCGTAGCGCGCAATTCGGCCTTTTCAGCGTTTCGTTAGGATTTTTTAATATCTTTTTATCTCGTATTTTAATACTAATTACATAAGGACGATGCAATCTCTGTCCCAATTTTGCTAAATTCGCGATATTTTTCGCCTAATTGCTATCTCTGTGACGTTCCTTATATAATAATGATTTAGTTTCGCACGTATAATGATTCAGGTAGAGCACGCACCGTAATTTTATCTCGATATATATTCCGATCTCAAGAAGTGGATAATTACGTTGATAAAACGCGCGATAAAAGGAATTCGATGGAATATTTCGAACAACGGGTAATCACGAGTACACTTTATGAGGAAATTTCATGTCTCTGAACAGCATTCCCTAGCAAGATAATAGCATCAACACTATTACTGTTAATATATTTTCGCGTTTCACACAACACTTTAACCACTCGAAAATTGCGGTTGTGCACAGGGGGAAGGCCGATCAAATGGTTAGTCGGAGCTTTATCCGTACTAGTACTTTCCGCCGGCACTTCGCGTAATCGTTTTTGAAAGCATACCTCGTCTGGTCACGTAAGGAAGTGGAACACGACTTTACTATTATTGCGAACGTGGTTTTACAGTTCATGTGTGTTTTTTCATAAGGATCACACCATACTTTTGCGACACATGACGGTACAATTCTCGAGAGTTTCCGAACACTTCAAAGATTTCGAAGGGATACTTGTAATGACTACAAGTAATTTAAGTTTTTTTAATTTAAGCGCGTTACGCTTCTCACGAATTTGAGAGAATTTGCTCAGTCATTCACGAGATCATGATATTACGTATCATCTGAGGAAAATTAATTTTTTTTATTCTCGCAAAATATTAGCATTCTGTCTTCTGAGTGATCTTATTCCTTTCGCTCCAACGCACTTTCCTATAACTTTGCGTAGGACGAATTATGCCTGCTTCGACGACGAAAGATCCTCAAGAATTCGCACGCGGAATAATGTGGCGGTGTTTGAAGAGTTTCATTCTTCAGAATTTTATTTTTTGAAAGATTGGTTATCTACTTTGAAATGTTTGTAACAAGAATTGACTCAAGGACCATTCAAATATTAATATACTAATATATATGTATGTGTGGTTCGAATTTTGTCTGATTATGTATTTTTTTTCTAACATAAACTTTGCGTGTCACTTTTGGGAATTTTATAAAACAATTATAGATGCTTTTTTTCCCTTTAATTATGAGGGAAACTACAATGTATATATTTCTAACATTTTGCTTCCTTAATAAAACTTTACTTAATTTTGTCGATAGTTTTGTCGACAAGCGACTGTATCATTACAAAAAAAAAATAAAAATCCAATTTTATATATAGAATTGTAATAACACGCTATTTTTCTTTTAAATAAATTTGCTGGGGAGTCTTTGCATTCAAGTACTGCTTAAAATCAAAAGGCTTGTGCTCGTGTTAAGCTCATGATTATTAGAGAGAGCCCGAAGCCAAAGCTTTAATATAAATTTTTGCTGATACATTTACGCACTTTACTGCCATAGAAATATTTCTGCTCGATATTACATTGAACATAGTTTATCGCTCAATTTTAAAAATTCGATTTTAAATTCAAGATCCCCTGAAACACAACGAGCCACCCACAAACCGTGTTTGTTTCCAAAATCGCATAAGTTTTATCACATTCGAAACGCGAAAGCACTCGATTACTTCAGATATGTCAAATATATTTTCACTTGAGTTTTGATCAAACTTTTTAAGTATCAATGGCACTACAATGTTCCAATCGTCGTATTCCGTGTAACTATTTTTTATATACAAACAAGAGACTCGCAACACGCGGGCTTTAATCCGGATTTTACTGAACGTGTTTTATGACACACTCACTGCAAGTATCATCTCACTGCCGCAGAGAATCCCAGGATTTATTTTAAATCATTCGAGCATCTCGAGCACGTCCCAGACAATCGTTATCCGAGTGAAACAAATTTTATGTAAATTTCTCACAATTCTTACGCAAATCGCGCGATTTTTCTTTCTTTTCACGGAGAGGAACACAGTATGCGCTTGCAGTTATTGGAGATCCAAGCGTTCTCTCTTTGGTCCGTGGATCAGATCACCTGCGATTTCGCCGAAAATCCTCGCATTCCCGCGAATACATTTCGTTTTCGAAAGCATTCGGATTCGCGCAAAGCACGCGGAAAGGAAATAAATTACTCGACAAGTGATAAATAACGTGTGTCCTTGTCTCGAGTTGATAGATCTGAAGCAAATCGAGTTTGAAGGAGAAATTTATTTTTCAATTATTTACACGCAAATTCGTTGAGAGCGCAGGATCTGTCAGCGATCGATATGTCCGCGATTAATCGCTCACTCGCCCATTGATCGCCCATGATCCATTCTCACGTGTATAACTTGTTTTCTTCTCATTAAGACGCACTCTCGCAATTCTCCTCGGGAACTTTGATCGATCAACGTTCCTCGACGATCACCGTTCGAGATTTTTAATCGCACCGGTCGAATGATTTATCGCGACAACGGGGATGAAATTCACGAGGTTCGTCAAAAATAATACATAATCACGATTTTTTTTCCTTGAAAAGTGATCTCACCTTAGAGGCGGATGCGCGCGCGAAACCACCACGAGTGATGTTGAGGTCGAACTGGAGCCTCCGACGCGGCGCTAGCGTCGCTACGAGCGAAGGGTAAACCAAAATCACCCTCCTCCGTGCCGCGACGTCCACCCCCGAGAAGGAGGGTAGCAGCAGTGGCGGAGAAAAAGCTAAGTCGCCCAGAGTTTGAGGTGCGAATCGCAGAAAAAAGAAAAATGAGATTTTTTGAAAAAATAAAATTATAATACAACTGTCGCTATCCTGCTTATCTTTCATTGCAAATTAGCATGAAACAAGCTTCGCGCACATTTTATGACGATAATATTTTATTTAATTTGAAATCTTTTAGGCGACCGAAAAATGTAATGCGTTTGGAGAGACATGTCAAATATAAAGTAGAACTTTCGTTAAATTACTCTTCAAAAGGGGAGAAAAGATGCTATTAGACAATGTATAAAATAGACAAGTCTAATTGATAGATGTAATACACTTAAATATATCATCAATAAATAGAAAATTCTCACCTTTGTATAATTTCTATAAAAAATATTCAAAGCAATATTAACGATTATATGTGTTTTTTAAGAAAAATAATTATCTATAAAGGGATATTTTCTACAAAACCGACTACAAATTGCATGTCCTAGTTATCTCGTCAGAAATACGTTTGTCACACTTGTTATTGAGCGCTTATGAAGCGAGCAGTTTCGATTGTGATATTTGTATCGACGTAATGGCTCACTCTCGACATGTCAATTATACTTAAATACGATATAATGCGCACAATACAGCTGACTGGATAGTAATGTCCACTCCTGATCTACCACCGTTTGTTACACATCGCGATGTAACGTGTCAGAAGTGTCTATTGATCTCAGTGATGTCGAATGCATAGAACGGTCTAATGCGTTAGCCGTATCGAATGGTCGATGCGCCGGCGATAGATCATTCGACGGGCAGCTGAGATTTCGGAAATTACCTATTCGATATCGCGGCGCCACGATTTGCAAAAAAACGGCAACCGACGTTGACTGATGCGCGAATGACTGGAAAACTCGTTTTTGCGAAAAAAAAAATACAAAAAAAGAAACGACGCGCCCGCACCGGAACTTCCGCTTATTCCGCGGTAGACGAATTTTCGAATTGCGCGAAACAAACGGAGAATTCAATCGACCTCATGCCATGGCAGGGAACAGATATATGCTTGCGAACGGGAAGGGAAAAAGAGCACGATCGTTTTGCATCACGTCTTTCCTGTACATACAATGTTCAAAACGGAAGAGAGCGGCATCCTTCCGTTTCTTTCGTGAAACGCAGCATACGCTTGTCATATGAAACCCCATTTTTTCATCTCCAGTAAATTATGATAGCCACTTTTCTCACGCGTTGCGCCGCCGCCACTAAAATTTACATTCGAGATATTCAAATGGCGTATTTAGTATGTGAAGTACATGCTTATTTTGCAAAAATATATTATGTAAAATAAAATCTAATATATCACACGTGTATTTGTGTGAGTATAATTACGAGCACAATTAAATTGAAATTCTCGAAATAACATGTATTTATTTCCGACAAAATCAGTTCTGTAAAATAAAATTTCAGAAGAATGTAATAAATTTTCCAATGAAATTTTACAAATATAAATTAAATGTTTTCTTCAAATATTTTAAAAAATTAAATCGAGATAATAATAATTAAATCGAGATAATTGGATAATTATATTATATTGCTGTAACATATCTGTAAATTATAGCAAACAAATATATAATATTGATAAGTTATAAAATATATTGTTAAAAATCAAAAGAGAGAGACACGAAAAGTAATAAGTCATTTTTCTTCTTATCAGATTCATTTAATTTAGCTTGAGAGTACTTTAGCTTGAATTAAAATTGAAAATATTAACGTTTCTTCTTTTTTCTTTTAAAAGTTTTAGTCTTATATAATATCTCGATTTAATTTATAGCGCATGAAATACAAATAAGTAGCATATTATAAAATCATTCTAGCAAATTGAAATATAAATAAATAATATTATATGCAAACAATGGCATAGAATTATTTGAACGCATAACGACGACGCTATTGTATGAAAATAAATGCAGTCCATTCTTACTTCAAATACAGGGTTAAACTGTTTGTGATAAAATCAAACTATACGTGATTACAATAAATTTACATAAAATCGCAAAATCAACCAGATTATCACACAATTTTTGCAAGTGATAAAAACGAAATGCGCATCAAAAGTCCTTCTAGTTTACCGTTTTATAATGTAAAGCGTTCGGGGTTTATCGTGGAGTCTTGAAGCTTCTTAAAACTCCAGGTCCTGACCGCAGAAGTATAAGTAAGGTAAAACTAAACCAACTTTAGCGCCGTCGAGTTCAAGTTAAAATTAAAGTTTAAAGACTTATAACTTCCTAACGTGCTGCTCCCTGATCTCGGGAACGAGGATAGTTAACTCAATAGGTCTCATCTTCCATACACACATATACATACACACCTATGCATGCACACACGTAAAGACTTAAGCGCTAGCATTTTCAATAACTATGATACTTTCGAGCTCGATTTTGACACGATGCTTGCATAATACTCTTAAAACTTTCGTGTCTTCTTTAATTTCTCATCACGCGACCTTAAGTCATGATCAAAAATCAGAGAAAATTCTTGTAACTTCAGATATCTTTCTTGCAATTTTAAATCAATTTAAAATTAAAACATTGTAATTCAATAAAATAAATTTTATTATATAAAAGTTAAACTTTTGTTTAACTTTCCATTCGCGAGTTAAAAGTTTTATACAACAATAGAATTGTAAATCAGAATGGAAACAAAAATATCTCTCATTACTTTTTCTATAAATTAGTATAATTTATCTGATTTTCTTTATTTTTAATTTTAAAAATAAATTATATAAGATTATAAAGATCTTCTTTTCATATTATTGCTCATACTATTGCAAGATATAAACCACAAAATAATAATAATAATAAATCAAACTAATTTGTTGTAGTAATTCATATAACCGATAAATTCGAAAATATTATACTAATGTAACTTTGTACAATTTCATATATAACGTAAAGAGAAAAATATAATAACAAATTATAGAATTTTAAATGTATTTCATTTAAAAATGTTTATATCGAAAAATGAAAGTCACATTTGTGGAAAACAATTCATGTACTAAATTATATATATTAATATATATTACTTAGATTTAATTATATATATTAATATATATTACTATATATTAATTATATATATTAATATATATTACTTATATATATTAATATATATATATATATATATTATATATATTAATATATATTACTTATATTACTTACTATATTAATTCAGTGCATTAAATAGTCCATTATAAGCTTTCATTTTGGGAGACTTATTTCACTTTATACTATTGCATGCTTATATTATTTTTATTTTTGGTTTGAATTTTTTGTATTTTTATATTTTCCTAAATTTTTTATTCACAT